TAGCAGCATCTGCTGCTGCTGCTGCAGGGTGTCTCGCTAGCGTTTGGGTGTCCATTGGCCTTCTGCCTTTGCAGACAAACCCTCTATAGCTTCTGTTCTATTGATGTATATCATATACAATATTATATTTTACGTAGAATATATATATATATATATATACATATATATAATAATATATTATGTTATGTGCTATTATTTGTATATGCATGTGCAGCAGAGACAGCATATATTCTATGCATTATCAACAATACACCAACTATAAATAATATTTGGGGTGTATACTGCAGAGTAAAATAAAGAAAAGTTTTAAAGGGCTTCTTCTATTGAGAAAAGCAGCGGCGTTCAGGTGTATAGGCAGCTCAAAGGTGAAAAAGATTTATAGATGCATTTCTAGAATCAATGTAGAAGCAGAAGAAGTATTAGTTAGTTTTAGAATCTAAATAAAATAATATAAAATTGATTTATTAAGAAATATAAAAATATTTCTGTCTTTTTTCTTTGCTGCTGCTGCGGTGTACATGCGTGTGGGGCTCCTGCGGTGGTTGTAGCGTTGTCCCATAGAATAAAACGTCTATGAAAAAATAATAAAATAGAAAGAATAAATTAAAATAATTAATTATTATTTAAAATAAATATATTCGCTGCACTTTATCCCTATACAACACCTACAGAGGCCTTCTTCCGCTGTATGCGCAGCTGCAGCAATTAATTTCTTTCAACAAAAGTTTGTTGCGGTGCTGCTGCTGCTGGCTTTTGGTTTGTTTTGTTTGTGTATTGTATATATTTATTCTTTTAATCTTTATATTTATTTGTGTATGAGGTTTTCTTATTTTAATTTGTTCTTCTTACACCCATTTCGTCGCTCTACAAGCATTGTAAAAGCAGCTGAACAACTTAGCATAAGAAACTCTTTGCTAAGAGGCCCTCCTTTCTTTTGTCTTCTTCCCTCTATTTCTTTCTTTAAAAGCTTCTCATCTTCTTCAACAAAGATAATGACAAACGCTTCAGTGTCTTCACCTGCAGACGCTGCAGCAGCAGCAGCAGCAGGAGCAGCAGCAGCAGCAGCAGCAGGAGCAGCAGGAGGAGTAGGAGCATCGAACGACTCGTCGATTTCCGCTTCTTCTTCAGCAGCAGAAGCAGCAGCAGCAGGAGCAGGAGCAGCAGCAGATGGGGGCGAGGGTATCCCTACGAATTTCCTAGCACAGATTATGCAGCAAGACTTATCTACAAACAAATATAAAAGCATTATTACTCGTTTTCCTCCCGAACCAAACGGATATCTTCACTTAGGTCATGCGAAGTCTATTTGCATTAATTTTGGCCTTGCAGCTAAATTTGGTGGGCACTGTAATATGCGTTTCGACGACACAAACCCCACAAAAGAAGAAACCAGGTATGTCTTCATTCTCCTCTTCTTTTCAAACTCTTTGGGGCTGCATGCATGCGCGCTGCTACTCAAATACACTCGGGTTTAACTACCAGCAAAGGCTGTTCGCTCTGTCTCTTTTCCGCTGTATGCGAGGGCTGGGGTCATGAGGCGTATTAGGGTTTACTATTTGGGTTTACTATTAGGGTTTACTATTAGGGTTTACTATCAGGGTTTACTACTAGGGTTTATTAGGGTTTATTGGGGTTTATTAGGGTTTATGATTTGTTATTAGGGTGTATTAGAGTTTATCAGGGTTTATCAGGGTTCATTAGGGTTTATGACTTGTTAGTAGTGTTTATGATGATAATTGATTAGGGTTTATGATTAGGGTTTAGGGTTTATGATTAGGGTTTAGGGTTTAGGGTTTATGGTTTAGGGTTTATGATGATTTGTGATTATGGTTTATGATTAGGGTTTAGGGTTTATGATTAGGATTTAGGGTTTACTGTTTAGGGTTTAGGGTTTAGGGTTTAGGGTTTAGGGTTTAGGGTTTGTGTATATGAATGTGCAGATATGTGGAGGCAATTCTTCGTGATGTGCGTTGGCTTGGCGGTGATTGGGGCGAAAATTTGTTTTTTGCTTCGGATTACTTTGAGCAGTTATATGCCTGGGCTGAGGTTTTAATTAAGAAGAATAAAGCCTTTGTAGACTTCGACTCATTAGAGGACATACGTCGAAAGAGAGGCAGCATAACGGAGCCAGGCATAGACAGCCCTTACAGGAACAAATTCACTGTACAAGAAAACCTACAACACTTCAGAAAGTATACAAACCCTAAACCCTAAACCCTAAACCCTTGCTTCACACAACAATACTGCAACTGCAACTCCGTTCATGGGGATAAAAACAAAAAGAAAAAGACCCATTCAAAGTCTTGGGTCTAGGGTTTAGGGTTTAGGGTTTAGGGTTTGTTCATGATGCGGACTGGGGAATGGAAGGAGGGTCAAAGGGTTTAGGGTTTAGGGTTTAGGGTTTAGGGTTTGTGCAGGATGAGGGATGGGGAGTATGAAGAAGGCCAGTGCGTGCTAAGGGCGAAGATTGATATGGCTCATAAAAATGTCGTTATGAGGGATCCGATCATGTATAGAATCCTTAAGAAAGAACACCCCAGAACAGGTTAGGGTTTAGGGTTCAGGGTTTAGGGTTTAGGGTTTAGGGTTTGCCTATATTTATATGAATGAATTTATATTTATTATTAAATGTATTTGGTTTAATTAATATAAATGTATGTATCATATATTTATATATATATAATATACATATACGTATACACACGTATATAAACAAATATAAAATAAATAAATAAATAAATGTGCAGCGAAATACGACAAAGAAATGCAATAAACCCATTATATAGAGTTATATCTATATATAATATAAAATAAATAAATAAAATATATATATTATATATACATGTTTCTGAT